ATTTGTGAGACAAATAGGGAAACAATTTATTTATGACTGGATAAAGCTAATGGATACATTTACATAAAAAGGAATTACTAACTGGCATACAATGAGTCATCTTATAGGCTTTCCTTATCCATACAAAAACTAAAGAGTAAAATTTTCCTACTAATACTTTATTTGTTTATTTATTTTTTTAGTGGGGGGGCAGAGTCTTACTCTGTCACCCAGGCTGAAGTGTGATGGTACAATCTTGGCTCACTGCAGCCTCTGCCTCCCAGGTTCTAAGTGATTCTCCTGCCTTAGCCTCCCAAGTAGCTGAGATTAGAGGCACGGGCCACGACACCTGGCTAATTTTTGTATTTTTTTTTTTTTTTTTGGTAGAGATGGGATTTCATCATGTTGGCTAGGCTGGTCTCGAACTCGTGACCTCAGGTGATCCACCTGCCTCAGACTCCCAAAGTGCTGGGATTATAGGAGTGAGCCACCACGCCTGGCTGATCCTACTAATACTTTAAATGATGAATATAATAGAGACTGGTCATGTGGCCATTAGTTTTCCCCAGGCTACCTGAGTAATTGTTTGCACATTTTAGCAAATAATGCAGTATTTAACTTTTCTTAAGTTTTTTCATTAGAAAATAACACAGTATTATGTGCCTTTTAACATTTTTTATGTTACTAGACAGGAAGTAAAAGTATTGGGCTGTCAAGTTCAAAAATATATGGTTAACACTGGAGAAATATCATTAAAAATTATATATATATATATCCAAATGCATGTAAAATTTGTTCAGTGGGGGACAGTAAAAATGAGCTAGACCAGTTTATATGGATAAAGAATCACGATCACCTGTTCTCTGGTCCTCCCAACTTGATAATGAGCAAAACTGGTGCTGTCATGTTCTTCATTAATTCATCCCTGCTCAGAAGAGGAGGATTTTCAATGGGTCATTGCAACCCAGGTGTAGCAACTAATCTGGTGATAGCTATTTTTGTATTCCTCTCATTTTTTTCTTTCCTTTGTCTCCCTGTGTAACCATGTAATATGAAACAATGAGTGGTTGCTATGGCTTAAATGTGTTTCCCACAAAGCATGTGTTAGAAACTTAATCCCTAATGCAACAGTGTTGGGAGTTGGAGCCTGATGAGAAGCCATGAAGGTGGAGTGAATGTCTAGTAACTCCAGGTCCTTTGTCCTTTGGACTCCGGGACCTGCACCAGCAGCCTCCTGGGGCTCTCAAGCCTTTGGCCTTTGACTGAGAGTTACACCTCTGGCTTCCTTGGTTCTTGGGTCTTTTTTTTTTTTTCTTTATTTTTTGAGATGGAGTCTCACTCTGTCACCCAGACTGGAATGCAATGGTGTGATCTCAGCTCACTGCAACCTCCACCTCCCAGGTTCAAGCGATTCTCCTGCCTTAGCCTCCCCAGTAGCTGGGATCACAGGTGCCCGCCACCACGCCTGGCTAATTTTTTTATTTTTAGTAGAGATGGGGTTTCACCATATTGGCCAGGCTGGTCTTGAACTCCTGACCTTGTGATCTGCCAGTCTTGGCCTCCCAAAGTGCTGGGATTACAGTCGTGAGCCACCAGTGGTTCTTGGGTTTCTGATTTGAACAGAGCCATGTTACTTCTCTGGTTCTCCAGTGTGCAGATGGCTTACCATGGGACTTCACCACCACCATAACCAGGTGAGTGAATTCTCCTAATAAAGCCCCTCTCATTTTCATCTATCTGTCTGTCTGTCTGTCTGTCTATCTATCTATCTATCTATCTATCTATCTATCTATCTATCTATGCTATTGGTTACCTCTCTGGAGAAAGCTGACTAATACATTGATATGCTATTCCTTTGGAAAACCAGAATGCATAGCCAGATAATATCTTCTGGAACTACTTGGAGTCCCCTTGTTTAAAGTAAAAGTTCTAATACAATCCATGCAGTTATTTAGTCAGCCAACACTGAGTCCAGAAAGGGTGCCTTCTAGAGAGCGTTCAATGGCTTCTATATTATTACTCACAATAATGACTTAGGCAATTACTAAAAGAAAAGAAGTAGGAGTCACTCTATTTTAAGGAGGACTTTGTAATTTAAGCTAGTCTTGGGTTTATGAACAGAATACAAATCACTAATTTAGTATGGAAAAAAAAATATGATAATTTACAGTAAGCTTTCACTACCTACCAATAAACAAGCACTTTTCCCTTACTTATTCCTATTTCTCTCTTGCCAACTTTGGAGACATAAGTAGCATTAATCAGTTTTCAGTGATGTTTTATTCCCTAATATTATTTAAAACCAGATTATTCCCTGAGAAGAGGAGATGAAAAAGCAACTACTTGCTTGGGTTTAGGCTGTAAACCACTTGGCAGTACTAGAGGTTATAATTTTGAATTTAGTGTAATTTTGTATACTAGAATACCAGTATAATTTAGTATAGTTTTGAATTCAGTAAATGTGGTAGTTAAATTTTAAATGGAATAATAGCTACGAGTTACTGATTAATGATTATCCAGGCACTGTTATGCCTTTGACATGCATAACATCATTTCATTCTCTCAATATAACATCCTGCTGTAGGTAACATGACTATAACCATTCTGTGGAATAGGAAACCTAATCTTGGGTGGATTAAATAAACCGCCTATCTCCACACAACTAGCAAATGGCAGGACTCAAGCTTAAAAGTATATCTGACTTGTAAGCTGTGCCCTCTAACCTCTCAGCCATTTTACTGCATATGCATTATATTACATCACCCAGATTCACTGTCACATTCATTTGCTATATTATTAATTATCATTATAGTCATTCACTTAACAGACAATTGCTAAGTGTCATTTATGTGCTACTTTGGAGGAAAAACATCAAATCTTGTACATCCCTCAAGGAGTTACACAAAATGGGAAAAGGTACAGAGAGAACACACTGTAATTTCAAAAGCTAATAGCTAAGTAGTACAACACAAACAAATGATGCTTCTCATGAGGATACATATGAAAACCAACGTTGCTTGAAACATGGGAGAAAGGCCCTTTTTAATTTGTGAGGCAGTTTGGTGGTTAAAAGTGGATTCTGGGCTGAGGCTGCCTGGGTACAAATTGGTAGCTGTATGGTCTTGGGAAAGTCACACGCTGTAGTTTCTCCAACTACAAATTGAGAATAAAAGCAATACCTATCTCACAGGGGATTTCATGAGGATTAGATGTATCTATTACTTAGAACAGCTCCCAGGACATAATCAGCTTTGGCCAGCATTGATGTTAATGCTGAAGCCTACACATTTTCTACCTAGTACTTATGAGGTTTGATATTTCTTCTCTACACCACCATGTGTTACTTGTCTCTTACTGAAATTTATTTTCCCTACTTTTAAAATTTATTTACTGTTTCTTTTTTTTTTTGGTGGGGGGAGGCTGTTTGTTTTCTGATACTCTGGTCATTTTGATCCTTTACTAGAGAATCTCCTTCCACTTCAATTTGGATATTCCCATTCAATTTAAGAGACTCAATCCTCTTCTTTCCATCCTACAAGGCTATCACCTTTCTTGACAGACAAAGGACAGTGGTCAGTCTGAAAAGAAAATATTTTGGAAGAAAGAATATAGCCAGAGAGTGAGTTACGAGTTCATACATTTTCTGAGCATATGTGCTTAACTCTTTGCTTATGTCAGGTTATTCTAAAGCACTTTTACTTGTGTGTTCCATATCCAGGTAACAGATCTCATACCTATGGAGGGAGAAAGTGCCTCTCTTCTATTTTCCAACTTGCTGTAGAAAATGTTAAATCACCCGAGGTCTAGGAAAGAGCTCAGGCTACTATAATTTAATAGGATAATCAGAGTTGACATGAAGTGTGATAAACGGATTTAGAATAGCCGCTGGCCCTTCTTCTTTTTTAACAATGGTATTGAGATTTGTGGTTTCCCTATTTGGCTGGCCATCAGAAACACATAGCGTGCTCGTTAAATACAGACCAGTCCTTGCTCTCACCTCTCCTGCCTTCTCTCTATCTCACCTCTATCTCCAGTGATTTGATCCAGCAAGTCTGAGGTGGGGCTTAAAAATCTATATTTTTCAGCACTGGGAATCACTAAGATTATTTATGCATGTATTCATGAGACGTGGACTTGATAATAGTAATTATAAAACTCTCCTTTTTGTTTTCTGTATTAACATTGAAGAATAACTTATTTGAAAACAAGATCCAATTTTACTCAGCCTGCTTCCTTGAGTTTTAATGAACTCCCTAGTCTCTACCGGGGACAAGGGGTGAAAAAAACAGCAGTCATTATTAGCTTGTTAGATTAGCAGAATCAGAATTTTCAAGCTGAATGCAACACTAAAGATAAAGTCATTATTTCTTCACTTTGCAGATGTAGATGCAACTTTCTGCATAATGGGAGATTATGATGGGAATACTAACATCCACAGACATTGTGACTTCCCGAAGTAATACAGTTAACTGGAACAAATTCTTGATTCCCAGAAAATTTAGTTTCTTCACTTTTCTAATAATCACCCAAATAGACTGGATCTGTTTCTCAATTTATGGCATTTATGCTAACCAAAGCAAGTGTGTTTGCTTTTTAAAAATATAGCATAGTTAAAAAAATATAGACCAGGCCTGATGGCTTGGTCAACACTTTGAGAGGCTAAGGCAGGAGGATTGCTTGAGCTCTGAAGTTCAAGGCTACCCTGAGCAACAAAGTGAGACATTGTCTCTACTAAAAACAAACAAACAAAAAATTAGCTGAGCATGGTGACATATGCCTATAGTCCCAGCTACTCAGCAGGCTGAGGTTGGAAGATTGCTTTGAGCCTGGGAGACTGAGGCTGCCAGTGAATGATCTGATTGCACCACTGCATTCCAGCCTGGGTGACAGAACAAGACTCTGTCTCAAAAAACAAAACAAAACAAAACAAAAAACTAAAGAAAAGCATAGTAACTATAGGCAACATCCTTTTTATCAAATACCTCTTAGAACCACATTTTGAGAATTAAATGGAATCTTACCTTTAAGAGGCACCTTGACATCAAGGCCATAGAATAAAGGCAAGAGAGAAGAACAAGAATAGAAACAGAAACTGCAGAAGAAAAAGAAGAAGATTATGTAAATCTGAATTTCTGTAGTGCCATTCAGGTAGTACAAAACCTCAGCTTTTCCACATTGCTCAAGTCTAATCACTTCACATATGAACATCAAGCACCTTTTTGTTTAAAAAAATCCACACCTTTTATGTTGCTACTGACAGTATCAGTGTTCAACTAACATTGATTCATACATTTTAGAATCATGAGGTGGTTTTACGAACAATTGGTCTAAGCTCCTAATTTTATATTTAAGAAAAATAAGCGCAGAGCAGTAAATCAATAGTTTAATTTCATACAATTTTATGGCACAGTGAGGGCTAAAGCTTAGCTAGCCTGAATCCTACTTTGTTACATATCACCATCTCTATCTTTCATGCATGAGAGGGTATTTCAAAAACACAAAATATGATCAGAATGTACACTTAATCACTCAGTGCTATCTTTTTGGTTAATATGATAGGTTTTAGGATTAAGGCACAGCCGGGAGAATATTAATCTGTAGGCTAAATATATACTTAATTACTCACAGTGGAACATTTCAGAGAGATAAATGGACACTGTTAATAATTACATTGGGTTGACGGGTAAAAACTGGGTCTGTCCTGGGCAAGTGGGGATGTCTGATCATGCTATTGGTATAAGAACTGCTTCTACATCAATGGGCATTTCAGATAATAAATGCGTGATGTTGTTCCAGCTGTTATGCCTCCAAGATAGACGACTTCTTATTTGACTCATGGAAGTTAAATGGAATCTGATTTGTTTCTCTTCACCAAAAATTTTCACTTGAGAAACAGATAATTAGGTGGACAAACAGTGCTTGTGTAGCACAGGTATATAATTAACTGTATACTAACTATAAAAAGCCATGGGTCAGGTCAGTTTTTAAAAAATAATTGATTTTCTTGGTGGTTTTCTTTTACAGAGTAAGTCTTTTACTTGATTATCACACTCCAGGAACACACTGTTAGACACATCTGTGAATAAGGGTTATGTTTGGCATTCTCATATTGTGAATGTTATTTGCATATTTCCTTTAATGCTACTGCTTATAAGGTTCTTGCTTCACTATGGCTAAATTCTATAAACAAGTTATGAGTATGGCTCTAAGAGGCATATATTGGTGGCTAGTCTATTATTCTGAAAAGCAAAAACTGTTGCTTTTTTTTCATTCTTTGAAGGTAAACTTATAGCAGGAGAAGTTGGAGAATGGAGAGTAATGGGCAAATTCCCATTCCCAATATTCCTATGAGAAGATCAGACATCAGAGCTACCTCTCTGGGCATGAGGAGATGCCCATCACTTAATCTGTAATAACAGTCTTAATCCCTGCAGTGTGGTGGGCAGATCATGCCATCTGGAGTCAGAAACCCTGACCTCTGGTTTTGATTTGCCATAAATTGGCTACATAATTTTGGGCAAGTTGTTTAATTTCTTTGAGCCATTGTTTTATTATCTGTATAAAAGGGGATCATAACATCTGTAGTGTCTGTCTCATAGAGTAATTATGAGAATCAGATGAAATGATGGTAGTGGAAGTGCTCTAGATATGATGCATACAGATATTATGCTCTAGATAAGTGCTGCACACAGCTGAAGCAATTTTGCTAGGTTTGTTCTTGCCACCTGATCCATACTAACTGTGTGCATTGAAATAAACAATAAAGAAGGGATATTACATGTACCCTGAGTGGGTGTTCAAGTACCACAAGGGAAGAATGAAGAGTATCTCTGGCATAAAGGATCTTTAGCCTTTTTACTAGACTTAAGGGTGAGGACAACTGAAGTCCAGTGAGTAGAAGGTGAATCGTAAACCTCATCTCTAATCAAATATCTAATTAGAAGTCAACTGGATTGTTTTTGAAGTGGTTGAATTTGCTACCATATGTGAAATATGCAGTGTTGATAAATACACTGTATATTGTTGATCCTTGTTTTCTTTGAAGTAAGGTTATTACTCCATTATCATAAAAGTTTAGGAAGTTCAGACCTGTAAAGTGTACTGAGCAAAAGAATTGTGAAAAAATTTACATTGAATTCCAACAATGAACATGATCTTAATCTCCCTTCTTCCAAAATTTTTGAGGGTTTTATTTAGAGAATGGCTAGGGTGATGACATTGATAGATTTTTTTTTCCTCCTCTTTTTGTTTTTTTATTTTTAAACCTCAGCTGGACAGGAACTGAATGGGTATCGTCAAGTTTTGGGGGCAGAATAGCCTTAACTTTGACTTTTTCCTTGAGCCAGCCCTAGGGTAGCTTATGAATTAGCAGAGAGATAGCTAAGCATGGGCCATTCAAAAGCATGGAAAATGGAAGATATTAAGTGTGGTCTTTGACAAACAGGGAAGCTGAAAGCAACCCCCGCCTTCTGTGAGGCTTCCTGCCAATCACTGGGAAATTTATTGTACGTTATTGTTGCCTCATTCAATCTCGCAGAACTAAATAGCCCCCTCTGAAATGTGAGAAATTCAAATTTAAAATTTTGCAGAGAACGTATACTTTGGGTCGGAATTTTAAAAATTACACTTTTAGAATTTGACTTATACTTTTTTAGTGTTTCCTTTTTCACATAAGTGATCTCATTTTTTCCTCATGGAACCCAAGGGAGGAGGAAAGGGCAAATGTTATCATCCCTGTTTTAGAGATACGGCTTAGACAGAGGAAGTCAAGTTATTTACCTAAGGTCAAATGAGTACTGAAGACCCACCCTATACAGAAATCTGGATGCCTGGTGGTCTGGCTACTTGAGCCTACCAACTCCCTTTAACCTCACATATACAGATAATTATAGAAGCAATCTGGGATGAACCAAATTCTAATCACTGTTGCAGAAGGGCAGATAGTTTGCTATTTTCTTCTTGTGTGCCTATGGAAGCTATTATAAAACAGCAATATCGTTTTACATACAGGGATTCAGGTAGCTACTTTCAGTCAATCTCACTGGAATTCCAGAGAAAAACCTATTTGGCATCCTTGCTCTTTCCCTCAGCAGAATGTTCCTGGTGTCTTGGGCCAGACTTTATTATTATTATTATTATTATTATTATTATAATACTTTAAATTCTGGGATACACACACAGAACGTGCAGGTTTGTTACATAGGTATACGTGTGCCACGGTGGTTTGCTGCACCCATCAACCCATCATCTACATTAGGTATTTTTCCTAATGCTCTCCCTCCCCTTGCTCCCCACCCCCTGACAGGCCCTGGTGTGTGATGTTCCCCAACCTGTGCCTGTATGTTCTCATTGTTCAACTCCCACTTAAGAGTGAGAACATACGGTGTTTGCTTTTCTTTTCCTCTGTTAGTTTGCTGAGAATGATAGTTTCCAACTTCATCCATGTCCCTGCAAAGGATATGAACTCATTGTTTTTTATGGCTGCATAGTATTCCATGGTGTGTATGTGCCACATTTTTTTTTTTTTTTTTTTTTGAGACAGAGTCTTGTTCTGTTGCCCAGGCTGGAATGCAGTGGCACAATCTCGGCTCACTGCAAGTTCTGCCTGCCGGGTTCACGGCACTCTCCTGCCTCAGCCTCCCGAGTAGCTGGGACTACAGGCGCTCGCCACCTCGTCCGGCTAATTTTTTGTATTTTTAGTAGAGATGGGGTTCACCGTGTTAGCCAGGATGGTCTCAATCTCCTGACCTTGTGATCCGCCCAGCTCGGCCTCCCAAGGTGCTGGGATTACAGGCATGAGCCACTGCACCCGGCCCTGTGCCACATTTTCTTTATCCAGTCTAACATTGATGGGCATTTGGGTTGGTTCCAGGTTTTTGCTATTGTGAATAGTGCTGCAATAAACACATGTGTGCATGTGTCATTATAGTAGAATGATTTATAATCCTTTGGGTTATACATCCAGTAATGGGTTTATAATTTATAATCCTTTGGGTTATAAATCCAGTAATGGGATTGCCGTGTCAAATGGTATTTCTAGTTCTAGATCCTGGAGGAATCGCCACACTGTCTTCCACAATGGTTGAACTAATTTACACTCCCACCAATGGTGTAAAATCATTCCTATTTCTCCACATCTTCTCCAGCATCTGTTGTTTCCTGACTTTTTAATGATAGCCATTCTAACTGGTGTGAGATGGCATCTCTTTGTGGCTTTAATTTGCATTTCTCTAATGACCAGTGATGATGAGCTTTTTTTCATCTGTTTGTTGGCCGTATTATGTCTTATTTTGAAAAGTGTCTGTTTATATCCTTTGCCCACTTTTTGATGGGGTTGCTTGTTTTTTCTTGTAAATTTGTTTAAGTTCCCTGTAGATTCTGGATAATAGTCCTTTGTAAGATGGATAGATTGCAAAAATTCCCTCCCATTCTGTAGGTTATCCCATTACCTGTTCACCCTGATGATGGTTTCTTTTGCTGTGCGGAAGCTCTTTAGCTTAAGTAGATCCCATTTGTCAATTTTGGATTTTGTTGTCATTGTTTTTGGTGTTTTAGTTATGAAGTCTTTGCCCATGCCTATGTCCTGAATGGTATTGCCTAGGTTTTCTTCCAGGGTTTTATGGTTTTGGGTCTTACATGTAAATCTTTAATCCACCTTGAGTTAATTTTTATATGAGGTGTAAGGAAGGGGTCCAGTTTCAGTTTTCTGAATATGGCTAGCTGGTTTTCTGAATACCATTTTTGAATAGGGAATCCTTTCTCCATTGCTTGTTTTCGTCAGTTTTGTCAAAGATCTGATGGTTGTAGATGTGTGGTGTTATTTCCGAGGCCTCTGTTCTGTTCCATTGGTCTATATATCTGTTTTGGTACCAGTACTATGTTGTTTTGGTTACTGTAGCCTTGTAGTAGAGTTTGAAGTCAGGTAGCATGACGCCTCCAGCTTTGTTCTTTTTGCTTAGGATTGTCTTTGCTATATGGGCTCTTCTTTGGTTCCATATGAAATTTAAAATAGTTTTTTCTAATTCTGTGAAGAAAGTAAATGGTAACTTGATGGGAATAGTGTTGATCTATAAATTACTTTGGGCAGTATGG